TTTAAATAGGGATCCAAAAAAATTTAAATAGGACTATACACCAAAGAGTAATTACCAAGTTTTAGCAACCACACGGGAGTTTTTATGGGAGTACAGAATAACAAGGATCATGGGAAGTACAGAAATCAATTAACATTTGATTTATAGATTTTGAAAAGGTGTTTGATATTCTCAACACAATTGGCTTTTTGAATATCTAGAGATGATAAGAATAGGTGGAAAAAGAAAATCACTCGACCCAGACTGGAATTATATACATGATATACCGATGAGTCAAAAACTGGAGAACGATCGAGTATAGAAATGTTAAGTAATGGTGGAAATTTAAATATAAGGGAATAAACTTCTAGAAAAGTGGACTCTAGGCTAGCGTGGGAATGCCTAGAGAAACTGGCTCCTACCAGCAGACTGGCGGAACATAACAATGTCGAAGTGGTATAGATTCCTGGTCACAAGAACTGATGCTCTTTTCAGAAGAGCATCACCTACAAAATTTTTTGGTCCAGAGTCGGTAGTGGGAGTACCAAAAAGCATCGTCATTTTACTGAGACTACCAAGTGACACTTATAAACTACCAAGGTGTACTATTGAAGGCTTCTGGGAAGAAAAAAGAGATGGCTAGAGATAACGCATTTGAAACATAGAAGTACAAAAAAATTCAAGGCGAAGGTGACATATTAAAAATAATAAAAAAGACAATGCTTAAATAGTTTTGGCATGTAAAGGAAGGTAGGAGATACTGGATACTGCTGTTAATATTTAACTTGAAGATTAAAGAGAATTAGTGGATTTCTTTAGACGAAATATTTGTGGCTCCGAAACCTTAGTGATACAAAATTCTCATGGAAGCTACTATGCAGCTACAGGCCATAATACTTAACAAAGAAGATGTTACATATAATAAAATAATGATTAATAGTTGTTGAAACATGCTCAGAAGCATAACACTTTATCACTTCTAAAATTAAAAAAGAAGTGTAAGAAAATGTGAAAAGCTTATAAAGGAATGATAAATTATTAAAAATCCAAGACTAAATCCAAAACAGTTGAGAATTTTTAAAGCAACTGTAGCTTAAAATGTAATACTTTGTACTTTTTGTAAATCTTTTTAAAACCGTATGAATTTTTCAAACGTCAAACACTTACATAATCAGTGAAACGAACTAATACATCTTAATTAAAGCTTTAATTGATAATACCATTACCACGCATCAAACCAACATACTTTTTAGCTTGTTTTTGCGTTAATTACATTAGAATTATCTTTACCTATAATTAAAGTTCAGTCACATCTATAGTTTGTCAAGTTTAGGTGAAGAAAAGTAATTCCAAGGAAATGTTCAATATAATGCTTAATACGTAATAGGAAACTTTCTTCCTTTAATCAATTATTTTATATTTGGATATAGACAGTCCCATATCTGTCGTCTTCTATCCTGGGTAATTAGCTTTTAAGTCGGGTTAGCATGTTGTTTTATATCATCTGTGATTTCAAAACTTTTTGTCCAAATAACACTTTTTTTTGGTCAAAAGTTGGTATTACAAATTTTATTTTTATACAAGCAAATACTTGTATGGACTATTCCCTATGTGCTATGAAAATTTCATTGAGATCGGGAGATTATTGAGAAAGATATAGGGGTGTGTTTATTCTTTTACCTATCTATATTCATTTAGTTCCACGCATTTATTAAAGAAAACCGAAAAAAACTCTATATCAAACTTGAATGAAAATCTTCTGTCCAAGCGAGTGGCATGCACCTACGAACTGTGTCTGCGACAGCCTTGTGGACAAACAATGGATGTGGTCCTCTGCATGCCTTGGCAGTGAAAAGAAAGCAACTTATAATTGCCATCAAAGTCAGTACTTGTGACTTTCTGGCAAAGTTTGTGACAGTAACATGACTTTCACGACCAGACTAGCTGGGACCGATGGCTTTACGTGCCATCCGAAGAAACGGTCACGGCTCGTACCATTTTTACAAATAAAAATGCCGCTGTTGGTCAAGAGTCGACTTGATATGAAAGTGTCTTAGTCGCTGACCTACGGCTGCCACTATAACTACCATAAAAAATTTTGATGTCATACTCAATAAAGCAACGAAATCTAGCTAACATGTTCTGATACAGTAGAACTAGACATAAAATAATGGTAAACATACCTGACAACTACAATGTGGAGCTAGTAAACAAATAATTTTTACCTCTATTCATATAGTGGTATTTCAATAAGGAAATCAAAGGATCATACTGCAAGCAAAATGTACTATTGTATATTGAGCAAATATCTAAAGAACTTGAACCTCTTCTAATCTTCCAATAAACAAAAGCCAAACTATTAGTATAGGACTACTTCTTTTTCCTTAGCTTTTCCCTTTTCAGGAGTAGCTGTTCTTTTTTCTTCTTCGTCAGTTATTTCTATCCATCGTCTCTTCTTCATTTAAACCTTTCTCAAGTCCACTACTATAGACTCCTTTCATCTTGTCCTCAGTTGTTCTCAACCTCTCTTTTCCAGCCAACAACGCTACAGTCTAATGGTATCCACATAGGATCTCACACTATATGTCGTAGTATTGGTTCCTTATTGCAATTAATGATATCTCTAAATCCTTTAGTTTCATTAGTAAAAGCATGCTTATATGATGAATGATCTACGTCATATTTTCTAGAGGAAAAATGTTACTAACATCAGATATATTACAAGCCAGTGTCAATTAACTAGAAAATTTGGTCAGACAGATTTAAGCTACAGATATCCCAAAAATAAAAAACAAAAGAACAAATATTTCTTGTAGGCAAAGCCAAAAATCATGTATACATACCACTTAATATGGACTGAGATCTATTGTAGATCTCTGAGATTTACTCTTAGACTAGACAAGTCGCATAAAAAGAAGAATAATCAAATAAAATATAAATAGCACATGGCTGCATCTCTGTTTCTCTGAGAGACCAAATCCCAAACAAAGCTATCGAAAAAATTGCTTCGCTAAATTGGAGTTAGGCAGGATACATCGCCAGATTTTCAGACAATCAATGGACAATACGTATTGTCAAGTGGAGGCTAAGAAAAGAAGCACTCTGGAGCAGAGAACGTTCACCAACTAGATGGACTAACGACTTAAAGCATGTTAGCAGTAACTGAATGCAAGTCGCATACTACACAGACAGATGAAAACAGCTAAGGGAGATCTATGTCCAAAACGTTGCATGTCTATTTATTATGTTATTTACAAAGATTGGTTGTCCAAGACTGCTTGTCTGCTACCTAAACTCTTTCGAATATTTTTTTTCACCGTGCTTAGAAGGACACTTAAATCCATCGTCATAATGTTATACAAATTTTTGTAGCAAATGAATGAATATTACTTTTTTGTACTTAATTTAAATCTCTAAGGACTGGATTAAATATGTTTTTCATATTTATTGATTTGGATAAATCTTGATTCAACGAACATACGTGGAAAAATATCTAAAAACGATCTAAAGGTAACTGCCACCTTTTCACGTCTTTTCAGATTAATTTGGCTAAAACTAAACATTAATTATAACTGTTAAAATCGATCGTTGGAATTACTTTTTTACACTTCTACTTCTTAAATAAATAAAAAACTCATGTTTAATATCTCTTTTAGAAAGTTGCCTAAGAATTAATAATGTTTTTTCTTATCTTTTTTACATTTAACTATAATACATTTTATTTATTTTTAGAAGACTCACTAGAGTCTTGTTTCATTCTCGGTATCCTGCTAAGACCCAAGCTCCTTGGTCCATGTTCAGGCACGGCAGCAGGTGTCACCTTCTGGATTTCTTCTTTCTGAACACTACCAACAACAAATCTCTTCTCTTCTTTAATATTGTTACCTTTGTTGTCGTTGTCTTCTATAAATTTGTTGTTATCTTCCCTTTCGAAGAGTGCGGACACATTTTCTTGAGGAAATCTTTTGTGTGGTTGGCTGTACTGAATTGGAGACTGTACGTTTGACCTATAAAACTTATTAAGATAATTATTCTTAGGAATTGACGATTTTGAGATTGTTTGAGGGAACAATTTATTGTCAGGCATACCAGCTATGACTTGTCCAATAGCATCCTCTTCAAGCATTCCTCCTGAGTACTCATCTTTATAAAAATAGTTGCCTTTGTCTTTTCTATCAATATCGAAGTTTCTTCTTGCTACACCGAATGGATACAAGAAGTAGCTGGCCAGACCTGCAGTCACCATAAGGCCTACTAAACCAACACCAAGACTAGGAACTATCTCCCTAGACAGATAGTTGTAGATCTGAGCACCGATGGCGTTGTTTTTATTTTTTATTTTATTGGAACTGGTGAGTGCTGTACTTTCTTTACTTGCTGGTTTCCTCCTACGTTTGTTCTTCTTCTTTTTACCAGAGGAGGTTTTCTTCTTGTCGGTTGTTAAAGAAACTGAACCATCTTTGGATTCCAGAGCAATTGAACTAGAATTCGTTGCAGTAGTGTTGACCATGTTGGATTCTGAAGTAGATATCTTAGTTGCTGTATTAGTTGTCATTGCAAGACTCTCATCTTTTTTACTACTAGAGTTTGTTAATAGAGGTGCTTTGGTAGTTGTTGTTGTAGTTATCTTCTTTTTAGTTTTTGTAGCATGTTTATCATTTTCTGATTTATGACCTGAAGATACAGATACTGATGCAGATGTGCTATACGTAGATGTTATTTTTGATTTTTCCTTTACTCTCTGGACTTTGCTTTCAGTTTTCTTTATTTCTGCAACTGTGGTTGTTGGAGGAGGAGAAGTGGTAGTGGATTTTCTTTTCTTTTGACTAAACTTACTTATTTCTGTAAATTTGATTTTTTCTTTGATAACATTTGATGTATTTATGGTCATGGATGGCCTTGTTGTTCTGTTATAAATAGGAACGATTGGCCTTTGTCTTTTCTATCAATATCGAGTTTCTTCTTGCCTACACCGAATGGATACAGGAAGTAGCTGGCCAGACCTGCAGTCACCATGAGGCCTACACTAAACCAACACCAAGACTAGGAACTATCTCCCTAGACAGATAGTTGTAGATCTGAGCCCCGATGGCGTTGTTTTTATTTTTTATTTTATTGGAACTGGTGAGTGCTGTACTTTCTTTACTTGCTGGTTTCCTCCTACGTTTGTTCTTCTTCTTTTTACCAGAGGAGGTTTTCTTCTTGTCGGTTGTTAAAGAAACTGAACCATCTTTGGATTCCAGAGCAATTGAACTAGAATTCGTTGCAGTAGTGTTGACCATGTTGGATTCTGAAGTAGATATCTTAGTTGCTGTATTAGTTGTCATTGCAAGACTCTCATCTTTTTTACTACTAGAGTTTGTTAATAGAGGTGCTTTGGTAGTTGTTGTTGTAGTTATCTTCTTTTTAGTTTTTGTAGCATGTTTATCATTTTCTGATTTATGACCTGAAGATACAGATACTGATGCAGATGTGCTATACGTAGATGTTATTTTTGATTTTTCCTTTACTTCTGGGACTTTGCTTTCAGTTTTCTTTATTTCTGCAACTGTGGTTGTTGGAGGAGGAGAAGTGGTAGTGGATTTTCTTTTCTTTTGACTAAACTTACTTATTTCTGTAAATTTGATTTTTTCTTTGATAACATTTGATGTATTTATGGTCATGGATGGCCTTGTTGTTCTGTTATAAATAGGAACGATTGTATCATTCTTCTTGTTGTCATCAGCTGCATTATTTGTAGAGTTTGTTACAGTTGGTTTATTGGTGGTTAGCGGTTGACCACTTAGCAGAATCCATGTAGAGATACTGGAATCTGTAGTTGGTCTCTCCAGTTTATAAAAATTGAACTTTTTGGTAGTGCCTTCTTCTATGTTAATGGAGTCTTCATCGACAGGTATGGCAATGCCTGGATGGGAATTTTCGTATTTTAATTTCTCCTGTTTAAGTTTTATTCTTGGTGGAGTTCGAACGTCCATTAAATCTAAGACTACATTTTCAGTTTTTGTGTTTTCTATCGATGCTTTTCTACCTTCTTCAATAGCTGCAGATCTAGAATAAAAAATAGGCATAAAAGTATTTTTTAAATGGTTAAAATTTGAATAAAAAATAAGATATCAAGAAAATAATGTAACAGAAGTCATTAGATTATCGACACTTCCTGTATATAAAGGTTTATTTATTGTCGTACTATTTAAATACTTAATAATGGACCTTTTCAGTCACGGAATTTCTAACTCGTTAAAATATTTGTCATGCAGATGATGTTATCTTAAAATTGAAGTTTTAGCAAAATCATCAAACCCTCAGCAGTACTTAAAAATATTGGTATGTTTCTACTGTAAGGATATTGCGAAATAATTGTAACTAAAAAGAATGACCATCTCATCTTTCGTTATCCATTGCGGATGTTGGCTATTAACATGGCAATTCGTATCTTGTTGGCGGCTTATCTAAATATCTATGTAGGAAAATTAATGGCGGATGGTTATTTTTGTAGGTTATAAGTAGATAATTTGTATTATTATCCACATTGAGAGAATCAAAAATGGGTAGTTAAAATATTAAGCATCAGCCTACCTTTGAACAGGAAGTGTACGTACGTCGAATATCCAGTAGACTCTAAAGGTCCACTTTTTGTTATTGATAAATTTGAGAAATATATCTTAAACATCTACTGTATTGAACAAATGACATGCGCCGTCTCCTTCATGCTATGGCATGCTGGACGAGCCACACAGTCTGTAGTCATCACTCCAAGATATGAGCGGGTACACAAAAAATGTATCAATACTCATACGCTTATGAAACGCATCTGGTGAATCATGAGGGTCTTCACATTTTACTCTTTTTTAACTTGTCTTAAGCGAATTGCCTTTAATTTTTGCTATCAGCCTCTTTGGCTAACTCTTATTTCATACGACCAGAATGGCAGACGGGTCACTAAATTTCCTTCTACTACACACTCTAAAACTCCTTAACATGTTTGTTGGCCAAATTTCCGCTTATTATGGATACATCAAGTGTACGTCCCTCAGTATCCAGCGGTTCCAATTTTCCTGATCAAGGTGGCGTTCTGAACAGAGTTTGAGCAGAGAGTGCTTAGAATTACTGGAAGAGATGAGGCCATCATAACAAACGACAAATGCACATATCTGCCTATTACGTCCAAACTCTATCAACAGAAGCATCAATGATAGATCTGGAGGAAAAACTAAATCAGATACAACGGGATATGGTGGGTATGAGTGAGTTAGGTTAGGTTAAGTAGAAGAGAAGACCAAATAATACATAAGTCTGGAAATATGTTCCATTTTAGAGAAAGCGAAGTCATCTGTCGAAATCGGTTTTTTAATCCATAAAAAATAAACACTAAACATATTTACATAAATATAAAATTATATACTACAAAGCGGCCTACGACTCTGTGAATAGAAGAAAATTGTTCAAAGCAATAAAAGAGCTAGGAATACCAAGTCAGCTGGTAAATTTACCAAAACTAACTCTTGAAAAAGTTGAATGTAGAGTATCAATTCAGGGGAAACTGTCTGGAACCTTTTAAAACAAATTACTAGGCTGCGCCAGAGAGACCCTCTCTCCTGTATACTGTTCAATCTGGCTCTGGAAAAAGTATGACACAAATCACAACTACCGGTTCAATATACATATAATATATCAGTGCAAATCCTGGCCTATGCTGATAATATCAATATTGTTGGAAGAACGTTGGAAAACGCTGTACGAGAGGTGTATGTAGCATTAAAAAAATCATCTACAAAAGTGGGTTTAATAATAAGCACCAACAAAACAAAGTATATGAAAATAAGCGCGCAACCACAAATCTTACGACCACTTGGATATATAGAAAACGACATCATCGAAGAAGCGAACGATTTTGTATACCTGGGAGCGCTCCTCCTTCTCTCTCCTCAGAGTTTGTTAGTATGACAGAAGCATTAAGCTCTGTGCTGAGGTAATACATTATTTGTGAAATTACAAATCAAGAACATTCGTTTAAAAATAGGAAAGGCTATCGTTGGATTGGACATGTGGGAAAGAAGTGGAAGAAGGCGAAAATAGCAAACAAAATATTCAAACAGTGCCAGTAGTGAAAAAAGAACAAGAGGAAGACCGAAGCTGAGATACGTAGAAACAAATAGAAAATATTCTATAACAACCTATAAAAATTAAAAACATTGTGAAAAAAAAAAAAAAAGCACGAAAACAGGTCAGAATGGAGAAGAATCCTGAGAACAGGCCAAGACCCAAAAAGGGTTGTGAGCCTAGTGATGATGATGATGATAAATTAGGGATTTGAGCTCAATTTAAGCGCGTCATATTGTAGAAAGTTACCTAACCAACAACCAAAGTGTAATTATCAATATGCTGTCAATAAAACTATAATTTTTACTCCACATTTCAATCCTAAAAAAAATAGTGGAAGAAGGAGGTTCCCAGAAGATGTAACAGTTTTATAAAGCAAACCATTAATGCGAGTTGTGGCTACAAACGACTTTTGCTGAGATATCAGCATCAATGAAATGAACAATAACATCATTCAAACATTAAAAGAAAGCTGAAAAGAAAATACTTTCACAGCATAAAATATCTTCTAGAGGAAAAAAGAACACTTTCGCAATGAAAATCAGGATCATATCAAAATAAACTGAGAATCTTGAAATGAGAAAATTAAAAATGAGGTTAGAAAGACCTAATAAAATCCATCCATGATACAATCTGATGGAAATAACTAAAATAATAGAAAACATTTTGTTTTTTAAAACAAAAGCTTAAAAGTAGTCAAATCGAACATGTCCATTGGAAGAAAAAACATTCAAAAGAAATGAATAGGAAAAATTATTAAGGATCGAGATCAAATAATGAACACTATAGGGGGTTTTTATAGCCAACTATATATAGACATTTTCCTCTTCTTTTCTTTTCTTTTTACTTGAAGAATATTAGCATCATCGCTCTTCTCATTCGTCCAGTATTCTGTTAGTGGTTATTATTTTTTGTATACCGAAGTGGAAGTGTTGTACAAGTTATCACCTTTATACTTAAGAGCTTCTCTCTCTTCAATCCTGACCCCCGGGGAGTGTAGTGGTCGACGTGGTCGTGTTTGTCCGTCTCCAGATTCTCTGTCTCTGGTCATTTCTTGTACATTCGATGCATAGGTCTTTGGCATATTCCTGTAATTTGATCTATCTATCTTGTGGGGATCTTCCCTCGTGATCATGGGGCCTGTTCTACCTTCCCTTGTATTATGAGTTTCCATGTTTTCTGTTGTGCTTTGCTCTCATAATTATGCCCAAAAATATTTTAATTTTGTTGGAGATAAGACTTTACTAGCGAGTCCGTTGGCTATACTTATTAGGCTCTCTTAAAAATGAATTATTTGTTCTGCGGTCGGTCCAAGGAATTTCGTAACATTCGCTCCTCCATACAAGAACATTTCAAGTGGCGTCCTTTCTTTCTCTCTCCTCCCGATTGTCTCACGAGTCCAAGATTCCACGTCCGTTTGGCTCAGTCATTGGTAATATCTAAGCAGTTGATCAACCTCCATTCTCTTTATCGTCTCTTGAAATTTGACAAGTCCTTCCATATTTTGGTCATTTTTGCTTGTGGACACTTTCCCCCCCCCCCTTTTGACTAGATCAGATCTAACGTTTAATCTTCTTCTTGTTATGATCCCCCTGTGTTTGGTGAATTAATGATCCCAGATATAGAAGTATGAAGCTCACAACCTCGAAAACCAGGTCATATTGTGGTGTTATGGTGTGGTGATTGTTTGTCTGTAGGCTATCCCACTATTCATGATCTTTGTCTCTTGATATGTTTACTTGCAGGACCAAATATTTGATCTTTCGTTTTCGATCAGTCGTATATAAAGTTCTAATTCAGCTCTGCTTCGGACTATTTGCAAGAAGGAGCTGGTCTCATCTGCGACAACGGTAGGTTTGTTTAGTTTATGGACCATTTTATTGAAGATGCCCTTTTCCCATCCTATCAAGTGCTCTTCGCATTATAGTACTCCCCATTATATGTTGAATTAATTGTGGAGGATAGTCCATACTTCCATTGTCTGACACCCCGTTCTGGATGAAATTCGTTCGAAAGTGTGTCAAGTACTTTTTTAACTGTCTCCAGTTGTGTGTCTCATATGTGTTCGGTTATAAGCGTAATTAGATGTTGTGGTTACGCCTACACTTCTTTTAGTATTCGCGCCATAAGTGTCTCCACTTGACCCTGTTTCGCACCGATTTTACGGTATTCTGTAAAACAGATGTATAGTGGGATGTTAGAATTCCCTAGATTTCTCGATTATCTGTCTGATTATTCAGCAGGTGTTTCTCGAAGTGCTCTCTACCTTTGGTAATATCCAGTTTGGCTCTGTGGGAATTTCCTCTTTGAAGGAATGATTTTCAGTCTCTCAATTGATTTTATGTAGCATTATCTTGCTAGGCATGGGATATAAGGAGAGATAGGTTCTATAAGTTCGCGCATTTATGGGAAGCTTTAAGATTAGCTTATTTGTTATTATATCGGGTATTTCTGGTAAGGATTTAAATTTTTTTTTACACATAAAAATTTGTAAAGCAGGTCATCCACGTATCCTGTTTTATGTATGTTATGTCCACAAGTACTTTCTCACCAGAGGAAATATGTGTTGTTGAGATTTTGGAATTTTTATTTGCATATCGTTTTTACTACACACCTTATGGAGTAATGAATCCAATATGTTTCTAATTTTTTGAGCACTGTTGTCATCGTCATTGGTGCTAGAACTCTATAGTGAAGCCTCTACGTTTCCAAGTCTATTTCACCAGTCAGCCCTATTCATTGCCAACTGTTGCCAGTTTGCTGCACCTATTTCTGTATCATCCTTTCATTTTTTACACATCTCTTCGTCTGTTTCCCACTGGCTGTGACATAAGAATTTATCTACAAGGGTTGTCCTGTTTTTATCTTGCTCGATGTGCCATCCACCTTAGTCTTTCTATTTTTTTGTAAGATATTACGTCTTAACCACCAGACATCTGTTTGTATTT